ATTGAATTTTTCAAACAGTGACAAATGAAGAAGAATTTTGTTCATATTAAAACCAAAGTGATTACATCAGATGACCCTATCTCGGTATGAATTCGAGCTCATAAAAATAAGGAATGGAATAAATAACAAGATCATGAAATTTAGTCCAACAATGATCAATAAACTTTTGTTCTTTCCTTATTCTATCTTCCAAGTCTTCTAGCATTGGCTGCATAAGTTGATGTGCTCTCACATCGTAATAGAGCTCTTCAGCCTTTATTTCGAAAGCGACCTCTCTTAATCCTTGTTCCAATTCGTCAATGTCTAAGTCATCCCAATACGCAGAATCTTTATTCTTGAAATTACTGAATTCTTCAATGAAGTTCTCTGCTTCGTATTGAGCATGAATTCGAAGTGACAAAAGTTAGTCTAAAGATTGTGTAGTAGCCACAGAATTTCGATGCCAGTGAAGGAGCAATGGAAGTTGGTCCAGAAACATATGAAGTTCTGCCTGAGCAAGGGGATTAAGGACATGGCCCCTAGTCAGAATATCACAAGCCCATCGAAGGTTCTTGAGAGGGACTTCGTCCTCAAGAACATTAAAAGGCAAGTGAGAGAAAGCTGCAAGCAGAAGTTGAGCTTGTTTCCGCTTAGCTGGAGTAGGAGAAGGTAGAGGTTTATAAGGTGAGAAGACGTTTTTCATGGATAGGGCAAGCTTCAGTCTCTCTGTCCAGCAAAGAGTTAGTGGGGGAGAAGGTATGAATACTTCAATTTCGGAAGACGAAGAAGAGGGTGTGGACGCTTCTGTTTTCGGAGATGACACGAGAGCAGAAGGAACAAAGGCATTAATATAATCAAACCAGTCAGAAGAACAAATCTTCGCCTTCTGGGCTAAGAATGATGGGTTGTACCCTTGTGCTTGCGGGCAGCGTGCACTATCTTTGTAGGCATGGAGGATGTATACCATGCTACAAGAAGATTCTCCTCCAGACTACGCCGATGGTCAATGGGCACATAGGGGTAGACCATTGAACTTCGAGCATAGGAAGGAAACTCTAAAGGGTCAGTGAACTCAACAAAATGATGGTTAATTCGCTCCTTCAAATCATAGGTCTCAGGTGTTGACCAGCTTGTCCAGTCAGAACCCCCAGAAAAAGAAGAAGTTGCAGCTTTATCCCATACAGAGATTTGTGAAGAAGAGTTTCTCAAGTCCATATTTGCAACTTTCCGAATCAAAGGTTTGAGAGCAGTTTGTTCGAACTGTAAGGGTGAGTTAGAGGAAGAACTTCTTATGTCTATATCTGCAACTTTCTGAATCGAAGGATTAAGAGCAATGTGTTCGTAGTCCAAAGGTTGGTAATTTGCAAAGGCATCCATGACCTGAATATAGAAAGATGGGTAAAGGTGACTAATAAATGCATGGACGTTCTTTCGATGAGGAACATCATCGACATATGACTCTTCGTGTGCTCGATCGCTGGAGGAAAAAATTAATTCAGCCATGAAATATATCAGTCTGTTCGAATGCTAAGACAGTGGAAGTGCTTAAAGGATTAAACGAGAGTATTAATACAGATGGTGAGTGACAGTTGCATTTCTTGGAAGATGCAAAACCCATGCACGTTCTAAAACGTGGGAAAAGGACCCTGATCCACTAATATCACCAAGTCTTGGGCATATTAGTGCGGGGGGTAATGTTGGCTACATATTTTGTAAAAGCCAGTGACAATTCGACGCGTGGCAAAGTAAGGGTAATATGGGAAGACCAATATTCACCCAAAAAAAAATATGGGAAGACCAGTCAAATCTTCGATCCTGATCATACACGTGGCAGTTAATATTGGTTGTTATAAGATCTGAGTAGCAGCGGATCAACAAAGAGATGCAAGATGACGTGGCTTCAACGGTTACTCACATTCAAATTCAAATTTGGGAGGGAAGCCTAACTGCAAGTGAAGGCGTAGTGGAACTACTTATAAGGTAGCATGATCGGCGATCACGGAGGAGCAGTTCGACGGTTTGAAGTGCAGTTCGATGGTTATCTTTGAAAAGTATAAATAGCAGGAAGGACTTCAGAGAGGAGGAGCTCAAATCGAAAGAAAAACCAGTCTTGCTTTACATATTCCAGTTTTATTTCCTGTTCTTTATATTTCTGTACTTTAAATTCCTGCACTGCACTTCATTTGTAGGAGTAGCATTCAAATTCAAATTTGGGAGGGAAGCCTAACTGCAAGTGAAGGCGTAGTGGAACTACTTATAAGGTAGCATGATCGGCGATCACGGAGGAGCAGTTCGACGGTTTGAAGTGCAGTTCGATGGTTATCTTTGAAAAGTATAAATAGCAGGAAGGACTTCAGAGAGGAGGAGCTCAAATCGAAAGAAAACCAGTCTTGCTTTACATATTCCAGTTTTATTTCCTGTTCTTTATATTTCTGTATTTTAAATTCCTACACTGCACTTCATTTGTAGGAGTAGTCTTCGAGTATATTGCCGCTGTAAATCTCTATAAGACTGAGATCATTGTAAGTTTTTCATACTAATGAAATGCTTCAATTTATTTAACTGTTCTTATGCTTAAATTCTCCTAAATTAAGCTACCAGTAAGCCACCAGTAAAAGTCATCTTCATTGAGGCTGAAAGAACCATAACACAACCGTCCGAACAATTGGTTGGCAATTACAATTCTGGAAGGACTGATTGATCCTTGCTGGCACGTTCATAATTACAAAGATAACCTTCGAAAGCCAAAAAACCAACAGTTTGTGATATATTTTTGTAAGGAGATTAACTACATGAATACCATAAATATCTTTTGGCATTTTTGATAAATTTTAAGATTATAAACTATATTTTCTAAATATTTGATTGCACTATATTATTTTAATATTATATATATAGAAAATGACATAATATTATTAAAAAAAGCACACACACACACATACAAATACATAACCAACACAATACACATCTTAGGCAAAATAGTTTTTTTCCAAACTAATTATCTCACCAGTTTTGAAACCCAACTCTTAATGGTGTGTTTGGTTGAGGGATTTAAGTAGAGATTTGAAAAAGAAAAGAAAAAAGGTGTGTGAAACTATGTGAAATATATACATATTTTATTCATATTTCACCTACTTTTTTCATTTCCCTTTCCAAATCCTTCCTCAAATCTCCCAACCAAACACAGCATAAAAATTTTACTAATTCCTTTTTCAGTTTTACAAGCAAATACTATTCTAAGTAAATTTCATATTTATCCTAATCCAATCTTATCTTCTATAACCCAAAACAAACAACTAATGAGCGCAATAGCTCACTCCCTCATTATATGACTTGGCAGTACAGGCGAGAAGATGTTTGTGTGTCAAGCTCCTTAGCTTCGTTATGTCCATGTAGCACGCAGTTGACAACCTAATTATCTAAGCTACTCGTAATTATATTTTAATTTTAGAAGTTTGTGTGAAATTATTTGGTATAATTTTTATTTACAATTTACTAGGTAAAATCTAAAAAATTAATTACTTAAAAGTTAAAAAATGAGTGTTTTTTGCTTCAATTTTTTAATTATTAATTTTTAGATTATGATATGCTGCCCCAGACACCATTTTTTTTCCTTCCTTTTTTTTTTTACAAATCTTTGTGTGTGTTTTTTTTTCCCTTACTTTTCCATTTCGTCTAACTAGAAAGATTAAAAAATTTAAAATTTGAAAAATTAAAATACAAAGTGCACTATAAAAAAAAAATTTATTTTTTTTATTATCTTTAGTGGATTTTTTTTTTAAACTTTCTGCTTGATCTAATCAATTAGAACTTTAAAATAAAAAAATAATTCAATTTGGCTAATAGTCAAGAGCAAACTTTTAATTTATTTTGAATCATATCACCTCTCTATTTTTTTATATATTTTTTCAAAAAAAAAAAAAATCAACTTTGGACTAACTTCCAAAAATAACCCCAAAAAACAAAAGTAGATAAAACAAAAGCCAATTCCAAACCATGTCTCAATCGAGTTTAAAACGATCCTAGGTCTCGTTTGGAAAAAGACATTCTCAGTGATTGATTTGATATTTGGGATGATTTTCTTTGTGACTTTTTTGTATTTTGCTCTACAAAAATGAAAAATTGGTGTGATATTTTGATTTTTTTTATTTGAAATTTCTATTTTACACTTGTTTTAAAGGATGTTTGGCATGAAAAAGTCACATTTTTGTTTTTGTTTTTTTTTTAAAAAAATTATATATATTTTTTATTTTTTATTTTTCAATTCATCTTGTGTAGATGAATTTTAAATTCAAAAATTGAAAAAATCCAAAATTATAAAAAAAAAAAAATTCAAATAAATCAACTGTTGTGACATATTTTTTCCCTCCATTTCCTTTTGAAAAATGTTAGGGACTCTAAATATTTTACTAAATATTTTACATAAGTATAGGACCCACACCATGTAAGTCTCACACCCACGCATTACTCTTTGCTTTTTTAGGATACTTTTCCAGTCTATCTAATTGTGTAGAATCTAAAATTTATTTTTTAAATTTTTTTTCAAAAAATAAAATTCATTAAAAACAAAAAAAAAAGTTCATAAAAAAGTTACTAAAAAAAAACCCTCAAACACCTATTTACTTGTAAAAAGATGATATATAAACTTTTATTTTCTAAATTCACTTTCTAAAAACTGTAAAAAATCAATGTGAGGATATATATATTTTTGATAAGATTTGGTTTCGTTTTAATTGAATTTTCAACTGAACTAGACAAGTAAGATTTTTTATTAATAAGAATTGTTAAACGTAGATTTCTTACTAATAAGAGTCATAGATTGAATTGTATTTTTATGGACTTTTACTAATAAGAAACATTAGTTTAATGATTCATACCGATAAAAAATTTTAACGGTCTAATTCAATCAAACATTCAACTAGAGAAAAGTCTTTTTTTTTTTTTTTTTTTTTTTCTTTTTTTTTTCTTTTTTTTTTTTGGTAATATAGATGGAAGTCTAACTATTTTAACGAGACCTAGAATATACAATTTTTAGCTTTCCAAACAAAGCCCCTGATGGAACCGAAAACCGTAGGGCTTTTAAATAAAACTCATCTAAACCCTACTGTTTCACTCCCCCATTTTCAGTTCGATAATCGAGAGCTCCTCTCTCTCTCTCTCTCTCTCTCTCTCGCCCTTGAAAACCCTTTGGTGATTATTATCCAGCGAAAGGGTCAGCCAATCAGACCAAAGAATCAGAAAAAAAAAGAAAAAGGAAAGGTACATTTTAGCTTTTTTTCGCAATGCTTTTTTTAGCTGCATTTATAGGTTTTAGGGTTTCATTATTATTTTCTTCATTTTTGTAATATATACACATATATAGTCACCGATCTGTTACATTTCATCTCAAATTTTGAGTCTTGATGATGATTATGAACTTTTTGATAGTGAATAAGTCGTTTTCTGTTATTAATTGTTCTCAATTACTTATGCCCCTTTTGGTCTTAGATCTTGCACGAGCTTTAAAGAGAATGATACTTTTATATATCTTCTATCTGTATTTTGGGTACTTTTATATATTTGTGTATGATTTGTATGTATGAGTTTAATACCATATTGGCTCAAAAAAATTGGGAAAGATTAGTTTGATGGGTGTGTACGTTTTTCCAAAATAAATGGCTGATTGTGGTTGTGTTTAACAATTTACATAGCTACCCTTCTTTTAATTTGAAGACAAAAGTTGTTTAAAATAGTGATAAATGTTTGGATAATTTGGGCAAAAATAGTGTTACACAACATTTTTATGTTCACGCCGAAATGTGCAGTAGTATAGATAACTAGTTACCGTCTTCAACCCTTACTTAAAATTTTTCTTAAATTTGAGTGAAAGTTCTATTTGATATGAAATACTCCAATGGACAAACTCAGATATAAGCATAAATTTGAATAAAAACTGAAGTAATGAGATTTGTAAATTTGAAAGGTACGAAGTGGTCTTAAAAAATTTTAGTAAGCATTTGAGTCTCCCTTGATTTGGATAAAAAAAAAAAAAAAGGATAAAATTCGATTGGATTCAAGTTTGACAAGTAGTGGAGAGGTTTTTGAGTGATTTTTAGCCAAAATTTTGATACGGGTTGGAGACGAGAGTTGGAGATGCCCTAAACCCGGCAGGCAGACTCAAAACCAGTTTTTGTTGTGGTCATTTATTCTATTTTTCCTTTTTGGTGTTAATTTATCACATTGCAGTGCGGAGTGGATCTAACAAATTGAGGAGTGGGGTGGTTTGGCTGCCATCTAATTAGTATGAGTATTTTGTTGTTGGCTGAGGCTGATGAGTAATGTAGTTCAGGTCTGTCTAAAGGTTTGGATGGGGTAACATGAAAATAATAAGAAAAGGAATGAGTGAAAAGAAATGTCTTTCTTTTCTTCCTTTTGGGGAAGAAGATGGAAGGACATTTGGAAATGGAAGTATTGATAGTATGCCATAATTCAGTTAATTTGTGGTCTTTTTTCAATGAATTTTGGGGAAATCAATGTAAGGAAATTTCTATTTCTCCTGCATCTTTCTTTTGCTTTCCCATGATTCTGCCGGACCAGGTATTTGACGAGAATTTTTCACCCCTAGTTCTGAATAGTGTATCAAGTGATCCAATCTTTTTTCATTTGTACTAGCCCATTGACAAGATATATCTTTTGTTTTCTTTCCCCCTATTTAGTCAAGAAACTATGTTCTGTAGGACCTCTATTACACTGGTCCTTTAGGCGTCTTTTCTCATCGGAACTTCACCGTGATAAAGATTCTTAATGAAAAGATATTTGTGCCTTATTGTCTGCTGTCGAAAGCATTAGGTAAAATTAGCTGGAGAAACTTATGTAACTATGCTTGCTGTTAGCAGAAAGTGATGTCGTAATTGGAAACTGCTGTTCAGAGTGATACAACTACTACTTCTGATATCATTTCTAATACCCTCTAGGAACTTGGTACAAGCACCAAATTTCCTTTAACTCAACTTTAGTATTCTTCAGCTATAGTGTCTTTAACTGCTATTCAAAGTCAGCCGTCTCATTTTGTTTCAGTTGTAAGCCTAGTAATTGCCTAATATGCTTGCTGTTAGCAGAAAGCGTTATCGTAATTGCTGTTAGCAGAAAACATTTTGTTTCATTGGCCATTGTCATTTATCCTCCCTTATAGATTGTTAGCAGAAAACATGTTGGTGGCTGAGAGAGGTTTTCATTGTTTTGCTGTGTTAAATTTATGGGCTTTTAGTCAAACCATTGATAATGTGTTTATGATCTGCATTTAACTTGAACCTGTGAATTGGTATATTTTCTTTTTCTTGTTGGTAGTTTTGTCGTCTTTTTAAAATTTTAATGTTAAATCATTGAAAATTTAAGTAAAATGCAGCCGTCATTTGAAGATTTTGTTGCAATGGATGCCATGTCACCAAATTCACAACGCCGGCCATTTTCAATCAAGCTGTGGCCTCCGAGCCTGAACACACGACTAATGCTTGTGGATAGAATCACCAACAATCTTTCCAGCCAATCCATTTTCACTCAGAAATATGGCAGTTTGAGCAAGGAAGAGGCTGCAGAGAACGCTAAACAAATTGAAGATGCAGCTTTTGCCTCCGCAAATCAACACTACGAAAAGGAGCCCGATGGTGATGGAAGTTCTGCAGTGCAGCTTTATGCCAAGGAATGCAGTAAGCAAATCCTCGAAGTTCTTAAAAGAGGCCCTAGAGCCATAGAGGACGGAGAAGTGATCAAAGTTGAGAAAGTTACCGGGGCCAATGAAACCTTTTTCGACATATCCAAAGGTCAGCGGGCGTTCATTGGAGCAGAGGAGGCTCGGGAGCTTTTACGGCCGTTAAAGGAGCCCGGAAATTCTTACACTAAGATATGCTTCAGCAATAGAAGCTTTGGCTTGGATGCGGCTCATGTTGCAGAACCCATCTTGAAATCTCTCAAGGATCAATTGCAAGAAGTTGATCTGTCAGATTTTATTGCAGGAAGGTCCGAGGATGAAGCTCTTGACATCATGAATATATTCTCAGCTGCCCTGGAAGGTTGTGTTTTGAAGTCTCTGAATCTTTCAAATAACGCTTTGGGTGAGAAAGGTGTTAGGGCATTCGAGAAACTTCTGAAATCACAGAGTAGCCTCGAGGAACTCTATTTAATGAACAACGGTATCTCAAAGGAAGCTGCACGGGCCATTTGTGAATTAATCCCTTCCACCGAGAAGCTTAGGGTTCTCCAATTTCATAATAATATGACCGGAGATGAAGGGGCCATAGCTATTTCTGAAGTTGTGAGGTGCTCTCCTTTGTTGGAGGATTTCCGATGCTCCTCTACAAGGGTAGAGTCTGAAGGAGGAATCGCTTTGTCCAAAGCACTTTTGACGTGTACCCATTTGAGGAAGCTTGATCTTCGGGACAACATGTTTGGCGTAGAAGCCGGAGTTGTGCTGAGTAGAGCACTTTCAAAACATGCAAATCTTACCGAGGTTTATCTGAGCTACCTGAATTTGGAAGATCATGGGGCAACTGCTATAGCCAATGCACTAAAGGAATCAGCCCCGTCACTCGAGGTCTTGGAGATGGCAGGAAACGATATAACTGCTGAAGCCGCTCCTATTTTAGCTGCATGTATTGCCGACAAGCGTTTTCTCACCAAACTAAATTTGTCCGAGAATGAACTTAAGGATGAAGGTGTTATTCAAATCAGCAATGCTTTGGGAGACTGTGGCCAATTAAAGGAAGTCGACATGAGCACAAACTTAGTGAGGAGGGCCGGGGCTAGGGTATTGGCTCAGGCTGTGGTGAAAAAACTCGAGTTCAAGTTGCTGAACATTAATGAAAATTTCATCTCTGAAGAAGGCATTGATGAGTTGAAGGGTATATTTAAGACTTGCCCTGAAATGCTTGGGTCATTGGATGACAATGAACCTGATGGAGGAAATGATGACGACGACGATGATGATGATGACGATGATGATGATGATGATGATGAGGAGGAGGAGGAGGAGGAGGAGGAGGAGAAATCTGGAGACAATGATGAATTGGAATCGAAACTGAAGAACCTTGATGTCAACTCGGAGGAGTAGAGATTTTCTTATGCCAGGTATTTCTGACTGCTCAACTAACCACTGGAAATCTGAATTAGTGGTACTTGTTTTCATCTCACATTATTTTGGATTTACTGGTTTGTTTAATCTTGCCATGCCTGAGCAGGGTCAGTTTCGGTAATTCCAGCAGAAACCTCAGCGCGATTTCTTCGTCTGTAGGTTTAGTTTGAGCTTTTTAGGACCTTTTTTATTTTGTAATTTCATGCAGTAACTCATCTACGATTCTTGCCGGAGATGCCGACTTTTGAGGTTATCTTGACAGTATGGAACTTTGTACTGATGATTTGGCTCTCTCTCTCTCTCTCATGTTCTATTTTAGAACAGCTTTGTCCAATTATGAAACTAGAGATTTTCATCTTTCTAAAAGCTAGCTTTTCAGCTTGTTTTGATTTCATGGGACTTTCTCAAAGTAACTTGGAACATTGCAAGTTAATTGAAATTTAAAATATTAAAAACTGATCAGAATATTGTATTTTGAGTCTTGTAGTATTAAAAGGTATCAATGGTGTTGAGAGTTACTGGAAAACTGCAACAATGCTTTGTGCTCGTTTTTGAATTCCTTGTGAATGTCTTCTCTTGAAAGTCTTTTTTTCTTTTTTGATGAAGGGGTATAGTTGGTTGTATTTTATTTTTGATATATTTTTTTTTTTTATGAAATGGTTGTTTTGTACTACATGGATTGCAACATTTTTTTCACCCAAAAAAATAATTAAAAAAATATACAACCAAGTTATCATCAGTGTTTTGAGAAATTAGTAAAAGATTTTTTAGTTTTTTTAACTTATTGTCTTTTTGTAAGCAAGTTGTGTGAGAGGTGATGTAACTTAAAATAGGTAAAATGTTAAAAATTGATTTTTTACCAGCTTTTCAAAAAATTCCATAGTATCAACCTCACTGCCTAATAATAAATTACCATGCAATCAGCTTTATTATGTATATGTGGCGGCTATAAAATTATTTTGAAATGTGTACACGAATAATGGGATTCACTATCTCATTTATAATTTTATTATTAATTGGTGATATTACGCGACAGTAAGATCATCTCCAACGGTTCATCAAATTTGATATCAAATTTAAATTTTGATGAAAAAGTTACTATTTTGTGCTCCAATGGTTGCACTAAATCGATATCAAAATGAGATTTTATCAAACAATTTATCAAACTGAGGACAGGCTTCGCATTTCACCAAAACACGGTACATGACCGTTAGGGTGCGTTTGTTTGGATAAATTGGATAAGGGGGATTGGAATCCATCGGACTATTAATCCTGGGATACATTGTCCTAAGATTATTTGGTTGGACTAAATTTGTATCCTATGTTTGTTTAATCATGGGATTAGATGTATGGATTGGACTATTTTTAATTATCCAATGTTTGTTTGGGATATTATGGAGAAGGATAAATACTCAAATGACTATTTTATCCTTTTCAATTATTTACTAAGTAATAGCAATATTAAACATAACTTTAATATTTTAATTATTTTTAGCTAGATTAAATAAAATTTTGTTTTATTTTATTTTTTGCACAATATTTTAATTATTTTAATTTATTATTTTCAATTAAATTAAATTTATAATTTATAATTTATATTTTTTATTTAATATATAATTTTAAATTAACAACACTAAAAAAATAATTTATAAATGTTCAAAAGACTATTTTATCATTTTCTAATTTTTTGTTAAGTAATAGCATGGAGGGTAAAATAGACATTTCACAAAATAATCCCATGGGATACCAATCCCATGGTTTCTATACCACCTCCCCCCATGGGATAGAATAGTCCCATATTTGTGGGACTAATAATCCGGGGAGACTATTAGTCCGGAGTAAAAAAAATGAAACAAACAATAGACTGTTAGTCCGGTGGGACTAATAGTCCAATCCCACCCCCTAATCCTTCAAAACAAACACACCCTTAGAGGAGACGAACCGGTCGACCAGTTGGTTGACCGGCCGGTTGACCAATCGGTTGTCCATGAAAAAGTTCAAACGGCTCAACATTTCTGGTTCAAACAATTCAAAAAAAAAAAAAAAAAAAATTGGCTTACGAGCCGACCAACCGGTTGTCCCGAAAAGAGTTCAAACAGTTCAACATTTCTGGTTCAAACAATTCAAAAAAAAAAAAAAATTTCCGCTCACCGATCGACCAACCGGTTGTCCCGGGACAAATTTGGTGAAAGGTGAACCTTTGGAGCATCTGGTACCAAATTGGGAAAATGGTGATTTTTTTATTCAAATTTGATGAAAAGTTTGGTGAACCGTTGGAGATGCTCTAATATAATAATATCTAACAATTAGTAGATCTAACTTTTCTGCACAGATTATTTTGTTTATATAGTAATGATAATACTAAACTTGCATCATTTGCATAATAAAAGGTTTATGGTAATCAATAAAAAAAATGATATTCATATAAAATTTTTGTACGAAAATCAAGACTAGTATTTTTAAAATTATGAAATAAAATGATAGGCATTTTTATTTTCAATAATAAATGAAACATATTATCCTATCTAAATATTTTTTTTTATATACAAATATTATTTGTATAACCCATCAATAAAAGCCTTAATTATCATGTCAACAACATTGTACCAAGGGGAGGGTCAAAGTCTAGTGGATCATTTATAATAGTCTAAATTATCAATTATTCTAACCAACTTGCTCAAAAAAAAATTTATTTTTTTTTTGGTTCATTTAAGCTCTTCAACTTTTATAATTATGTCAAAATGTAGAGTAGAGATGTGAAAGATTATCATGTGACGTCAGATGGTTTTCTAATTGAAGTAAATTTTTAGGGTTTAAATTAAGAAAATAATAGCCTAAATGAGGGGGGGAATGGAAAGAGAAATCAATGACAACTTAAAATGAAATTATTTACAATAAAAGGGTAAATATTTATCTTTTTCCTCACATTTAGGCTATCATTTTATTAGATAAATACTTTAAGTCAATTAGTAAGCACATAATATAACAATGTACACATTTAGGCTATCATTTTATTAGATAAATACTTTAAGTCAATTAGTAAGCACATAATATAACAATGTAGTTTTCCTCACACTGTTAATCGATTGGACTATATTTGAGAGTTGAGCCTCCGTTCACCATTTGGGCTAACCTTCGAGTAAAGTGGGCTAAGCATGTGGCCCAAATCTTTAATATAACTACGTGCGTAATTCAACAAGCCCAACCAAGAATGGTTCAACAAGACGGTAATTGATTCCCATCTCATGAATACATCATCAAATTTTCCGAGGGGATGAGGTATCACAAACATAGCTCCAGTTGGATGCATAGCTGATGGTAGGTTCCACCATTCATTCTTATCATCGCGTCGGAAATTTCGGAAATTCACTCCAGTACTAAAGAACTAGCTCATAATATTGCCGTGATATACAATCGTGTCTGTCTCTCCAGTAAAGTCAATTTAAAGGAATTTCGAAGTCTTATTGTCCAACGAAGAAGATGATGCAATTGGACAAGCCCGAACAGCTCTCCAACAATTGGTCAAAATCCAGCAGCTCAAGTTGGAAGCCATTGAAAACAAAAATTAAAAAAAATTACTCGAATAGGAAAATCCAAAATTTCAAAAGTTACAAAGAAAACAAGAATCATCCCTTTTTCCTTTCACAAAACCCTCTCTTTAGGCATCAATACATGATATTTTTCTTCCTCTTTTTTTTCTTTTATAAATTGGATAATTTAACATAGCTGTCTGGTATGCTAGTACACATGTAACAACTAAACTACCAAAATAATGGAACTGGAGGGAGAAGAAGGTCTGACAGCATCGGTTATTTGCCAACAGCAACGAGCCACCACCGATGATGACGGGGTACAGAAACTATGGGGATGAGAGATAACCAAAACCCTTCAATGCTATGCTGTTTTCAGCAAGCTTTTCCAATCAAATCTAAATCCATTTCCTCTGTTGTTAGAAAATTCAACCTCAATTAGATGAATTCAGGACAAATTTGATCTCTTCCTTTTATGAGTCTTCCATGTTATGTTCCAACCACCCTCTCCAACTGCTTTCTGGGAATATTCCACCTCGGACGTATCTTCACTTGTCGCCTCGCTCACCATAGACATATTTTCACTCTTCAATTCAAATACTCTAGTCTCCCCTCCTGCACTATTGGTTGCCACATCATTGCCCATAGCGGGAAGATGTTCCTTTCTCTTTCCTCTTAAGGAACGCCTCGCTATGTCTTCTCCATTTTCCACAGCCTTCATCCATTGTAAATCACTAAGTGTGTCCACGTAAACCACCTCTTTTCTTCTTCGCTTTCCAGTGATGTTGCTACTTTCATAGTCAAATCCTTTGCCCTTGGTTTCTTTGTTATCTGGTGCGGTGTATGCCCACTCTGGTACCTCATGTTCTTCCATGAGACGAGATCTGTAATTCTCCTGACGTTTTCTCTCCTCATCCATTTTCTCAAATAGCCAGAATTCTTCATCAGAACGAGCTGCAAGGCGGTTAATTTCTCTTTCACTTGGTACATCTGTCCCAAGCGAGCTTGTACCTCTACGCATGATCTCCTCCAACATCTCTCTTCTGTCTTTAGCTGCATAAACAAAGTTTAAGTTCAATTACCTCAATTCTCTTCATTTAACCAAAAAAATAGACCCAACAAAAAAAAAAAAAGAGAGAGAGAACAGGATATGGCTAGAGTGGTATTTTCCCTTTTTCTTCACATTCATAAGCTCAGGTTTATAGTCTCCTGCCCTCTCGATATCATATTGGGGTGGGGCATAAATTAAGAAGTGATGAGAGTTAAAAGATACAAGATGATAAATAAAGAAGTGAAAACGAATGTGAAGTGTAAACTTTTAGTGTTTTTCTCTTACTATATTTAGGAAAATTAAATCCCCACCCCACTTGCTCATCGGGGGCCAAAAGAACCTGTATGGGGCCGTGGATGCAGGGGTGGGTGGGGGAAATTGTCATCCCTATCTGATCCATTGTTATCTCTACAAAATGCCTTTAAATAAAAAAAAATAAAAACAAGATGCAATCTGATGCTTATGCATTCAATGCTAGAAGGAAGTTCCAGAACTGTCCTGGCATATCTGACAAAAAATTCTTTCTGCCTCATCTACTATTTAAATGTGTCCTTGCTTCGGAAAACAGTAAAACAGACAGAAATTGACCATGAAATAAAGATTTTAAAAAATACTGCAATAATTTCATCTATAAGGACAAACCTGTGGAGGTTGTATTGAACAGCCCTGCTTGGATGACCTTAGCGTCAATGCCCATCTTCTGTTTTGCGCGTTCCAAGATTACCTCTTCAATCGATCCAACGCTAACCAAAACAAAAACCCTAACTTCCTTCTTTTGCCCAATACGATGTGCCCTATCCTCTGCCTGTTGGTCCATTTGGGGATTCCAATCACTGTCAAAAATTATCACAGTATCTGCTGTTTGTAAGTTCAGACCAAGACCCCCGGCACGAGTACTCAGAAGAAACATGAAGAACGGAGAATCCGGAGCATTGAATTGCTTTAGTAAAGTTCCTCTTTCCTCGGTTTTTGTTGAGCCGTCGAGTCTAAGATATTTAAAATCATGAAGTTGTAAATAAATTTCAAGAATGTCCATGAGACGGGTCATTTGTGAGAAAAGGAGAACCCTATGCCCTGCTCTGTGAAGTTTTGGGAGTAAACGATCAAGTAGCTCAAATTTCCCAGATGCTCTAAAAATCTCCTCCTTGCGCCACAAATTATATTCACCCACAAACAGGTACGGGTGATTGCAACATTTTCTGAGCTGCATCGACAGGTTTTGTAGACTCTTAGACTTCCCAGATCCTGTATGTTTAGTCATATTATATTATTTAAACTTGAGCATAGTCACAGCATGAAAAGAAAAAAAAAAAAAAAATTATTATTATTTCATAAAATTAAATGAATGATAAAAAAAAGTATGAGAAGTACAAGCTACTGAAAATCCAGGTTAACTGTTGTTTACTTGAAGAACTGGGGAAAGAGGAAAAGGTTAGGCACTGTCTAGCTAGCCTTTTGAAAGTAATTTTTAGTTACTCTTGGAAGAAACAATAAAAGCAACAAAATTCTAACAAAACTATGGTTATGTTAGAGCTTTGATTTTGCAGAACTTTCAGAAGTTCAGCAATTTAAAAGCAGTCAACGACCATCGTAAAATAATAAATAAAAAAACAGCAGTTCATAGATCCTGCATGAGTGAAAGGAAGTCTGTAACAAGGTTAACAACATTTTAAAAAGAGGAAAATCATTATAAAAAAGACAAATCAGTTGAGTTCAAACAATAGACTTTCATAGATCCCCAGAAGCAATGTACCAGTAACAAAACAAACAAATTTAGCTAACAACAAATCAATGTCACCAGGATATGGTTCAATCTGGTATACCAAATGGAATGGAAATGTGATATAACACATTCTCTAAATATGATAGGTTTAGGCTGTTAGTAAAAGTCCCATCAATGCATATCAGGCTACATTCAAAGGAAGTTCAAGATTGAGTCCAAAACTTAACTAAAGATGAATAATGCAAGATTTATGATCACTTACAAATGCAAGTTTTACAAATACTCTTAAGGAGGACATGAAAGACAAGCATAGGTTTAAGGCGGCAACAACTTACCAGTATCCAATCCAACCCTCCCCACATCTGTGACTTGATGATAGTATACTTTCTGCCATGCTGACATGTCACATTTCAGTATGACTTGCGTTTTCCCAGGGAGGAACTTCTCCACCTCATCTTTCTTTCTCCTCAATATAAATGGCCTTATGACCTGGAATAAAGAAAATATATTAAAAAGGGTAGGTTAAAGATGATGAATCAGAAAAGACATTGGAAGCCATCACCTACATGGTGCAGACGGCGGATGACCAATAGTTCTTCTTCATCTGTTAGAGAAACATCACACCGATCCGCAAAGGGTGCATTAAACCACTCCTCGAAATTCTCAACTGAATTAAAAATGCTTGGAAGGAGAAAATTGAGCAGGGCCCATAACTCCTGTAAACTATTCTGTATAGGGGTACCGGTTAACAGTAGTCGACGTCGAATACGGTAGCTGTATACGGTATGAATTCCATTAGACGACCATTCTTACACGTATTAAAATCATATCCAACATAGCATTGGAAAAAGCAAAGGAAATGAATCTGAAAGAATATACAGGACCAGAAACACAACTGATTAATACAAAGAAAGAAACACAACCATTCTTACACGTATTAAAATCATATCCAACATGGTGAGTTTGAAAACACAACTAATTAACCAAAATGTTTGACAAAAACAGAATATAGAGTGTAGTAAAAGAAAGAGCATTCCTTTTTCTTTACTTTTTCTATTATTTTTTTGGTAATTTTGGTCAGAGACCTTTACATCAAACTCCATGAAAGTTTGGTGCTGAATACAGTGAACCAAATGCTCCAATGTGGCAACCAAATGCTCTATGTTACATGAATCCCCACTTCTTTGCATAGTACTCCAGTTAAGAAAGACATCTTATCCAACTAAGAAACAACACGAACTAAAATGAGTGTAGTAGAGATGAAGATGTTGAGGTGAATGTGTGATAAGACTAGGAAAAATAGAATTAGAAATGAATACATTTGTGAAATGGTAGGAGTAGCACCAGTTCAAGATAAGTTGAGAGAGAATAAATTAAAATAGTTTGGTCAGGTACAACAAAACCAGCAGAGGCAACAATGTGGAAGTGTGATAGGATCATGGTTTAAAGCATGAAAGTAATTTACTTACTTTAACTGAGCATACGACTCTTGATAGAGCAAAATCCACAAAAAGGATTCATGTAGCTGACCTCAACTGATTGGTAAACAAGGCTTGGTATGGTTTGCACATAACAAATGAAACTAAAAAATGTTCTTCATAAATTAAAAATAAAGGAAAGAAGGGTGGATCATAGAGAAGAAACAATTAAAAAGATAAGAATCCCTTAAAAAAACAAAAAAAACCAGAGAACCATAATCATGTAGGAGATTTACCGAACCTAAAGATGAATATAAAACTAATCATATAGAGTGAACAGTCCTAGAAACAAAGTAGACCATCAGAAAAAGTAAAATAAGCAAGGGTGTTAGCATACCCTGAAACAAGAGTCCTTGCAAGAGCACATTCATGATTTTTTAACCTATGTCCTTCGTCAACAATCATGTAGTACCAGTGAATTTTCTTCAAAAATGCTTTGTCTCTCATAATAAGATCATAGTGAGTGATCAGCACATTGAATTTTCCCTCTCCCGAATACTCTTCCCTCAATGCCTTTCTTTCATCAAGACGCCCGTCGTAGAGAATAGCAACAATACTGTTACAAGAAGAAAATCCATGCATTATTTCAAGATGAGCATTTAATGCTGGTGCATTAACACACATATGTACATGCACTATTCAGACATATTGATGGAAGATTTCCACAAAAACTTCTGCGCATACCTAGGAGCCCAGGTTGAGAATTCATGAACCCAATTTGGTAGTACAGCCTTTGGGGCCACAATCAAGTAGGGGCCAGTGATGCCTTTGTTTTCCATGAGATAGGCAATCAACGAAATGGTTTGGATTGTCTTGCCTAATCCCATCTCGTCTGCTAAAATTCCATTTAGATTGTTATTGAATAAAGACAGCATCCATTGAAGCCCTTCTAACTGGTAGGACCTTAGTTCTCCACCTTGAAGCATGGATGGTTGCTCGGTTACCTGTGGATTTTGTGGTCCGATTAGTCTGAACTTCTAATAAAACTAAAAGGTTTCACAAGCAAAAAAAGGCAGCATACAATGTGTAGGCATTGTTTAGTGCGACTGCTAAGTTTTCGGCTACACTGACTCATATGTTAATTTTAAGAAAATAAGATGTGGCAATAAACAAGGCATGCATGCAATGGACTAGATTGTCTATCTAACCAACCTCAGGTTGCATGTTACTTTTATGCATGAAATTAACGATTAAATATGACTGCCAATAAATCTGAAACATCTTTGTATGGTCAAGAAATAGGAATACCAGTTTGAATCAACATATTAGGCCAATATCATGGGAAACGTAGCAAGAAGAGCAAGTTTCTATCCCAACTGTTTTGCAATTTGCAATTAAACTACTTTGGCAGCCCATTCACTAAAGTATAATCACAAACATCAAGAGTATATATTATAAAGTATGAATTCAAATGCAAAATAATATCCAATGGCATTGATAAATAACACGAGGCATTCATTATTTACCTTTTCTTGGATTGAATGAATCACTGAATTATATTGTCGCTGGCCTTCGAGTAGATCCCCTGTCTTAACGCTGCGATTGGATTCAATATCGCCCGTCTCAGCATTTTCCTCAGGAAGTGAATCCTCAGGGGCACCACTCTTTAAATCAGACAAGTTAGACAAGTCGGCATCTGAGTCTTTCAAGGCTTCAATGCCATCATGTTCAGCATCTTTTTGACGTTGGACAGCAGCTCCCAAACGAACTAGGAGATCATTAGTTTTTCCTAGAAGCATTGTTAACCGTTCATTCTTGCTCTCCTCCACCATTCTCATGTATGCTTCCTGATCATCAGCTTTCAGAGCTTGGAACCTCAATTTTTCTGCCCGTGTAGCACGTTGCCTTTGTCTTCCATGCCATGCCTGGGTAATGTAAAAGACTGAAGTGACTCCTCAAAGCATAGTGAATAAATAACTAATCTCCTACTGCTGTAAATTGTCATTAACCAACTAGGAACAAACACAAATCTCTTCTAAAATTACTGACAAATATCTGCAGGATATGTACAAAACTAATTTGTTATTAAGATTCTTGCACAAGGAAGAGAAATACAAAAATAGAATGAGTTTAAAAGTCCACTGAATTCAACTTAAGAAATACTACGGTTGAATTTAGCATATTTTCATAACACAAAACGTAAATCAGGAGGAACTTTCTTTTGATAGCATGACAAAATAACTCCTCCAAAACATCTATGAGCATATACAAGACAAATCTGTATCAAGGCTCGAGTGTTTTATTATACTTCAGTTACAAGTAACATACAGAAAAGAAACAAAAATGTGAATATTTATTCTTCCTTATAGAGAACACAAGAAAACAGTCACCAGGAAACTTAGTCCCACATGGAAACAAATTTACAGGTTATGATTTTCCCATGCAAGGACAATATTTGGCCAAGTATCATTAAGGGGGTGTTTGGTGGAAATTATTTTAAGCTAAAAGCACCAATTTCCCAACTTCTAAATAATTAGTTTTTTTAGCTTATTTAAGCTATTTCTAAATAATTAGCTTTTTTAGCTTATTTAAGCTATTTCTGCCTCATCAGTTATAAGCAGAAGCTGCACCAAACAGTTTGACACAGACTCTGAAATTAAAATAAGCTATGATCACCCCTCAAAATCTATACCAAACAGCCCCTAAGAATGTATCAGAAACAATGGCAAGTATTCCAGAAATGCTTCTTCTGAGCTCATAAAAAAGAAATGTCTAATAAATTTCAATTACTTTTATTTCTCCCACACCTTTCCCTAAATGAATTTAAACAGATCAAGAGTTTCTCCCTCCAAAAATTTGACTTTCAAAATCTTATTTTTTTAAAATCACTTCATAATGCCCATATAATATTGAAATGCAATTCCTACCTCATTCTCCCATATTATTTTCAATTTTAATATGTAGTGTTTTTTTTTTTTAAATATAAAAACAAAAGAAAAGCATGCCTGAACACCATCATTCCTTTGTTTCCGACGTTTCTGAGCAGCTTGTACTTGCAATTGGAGTTCGCGGGCTGCATTAAGTAATTCTGCAAAGAATTTCCTTGTCCTTGTTTCCATGAGATTCTTCTCCTCCTCCTTGAACCTTGACAGCCTCTGCAACAAAGATGTTTCACTACATTCAGCAGTATACTGGAAATTAATGTGTTTGCAGTAAATAATACAATAGTTCTTGGCCAAGATTATCCATAATCTGAATCCTGAAACTTCAGATGTCATCTATAAACTTCCAAAAGTTGGGTCCATTGATCAATGACCCCTTCCACGACTTCATCAGGAAAAAAGTTGACTGGTCATCTTTTTACAGTCATTGCAAATATATTGCAGATATTAAATTTTCATCAGATACCAACGTTAAGAGATCAGATCATACATTAAGTCCATAAAATAAAGGGTGCCACCTCATCTGTTGAAGTGGAGCTGCATTTTTTGCAGTCATAAGCTATAATTTTCATAATCTCTAGATACCACTTTTGAGCAAAGTAAATTCTGAAGCTAAAATTGTTAAACATATAAACTAAAAATAACCTCAGTATCCCTTTTCTTCTTCAGGTTATCATCAGCTTCCATGGAGAAAGCATCTCCGAGACCATAAGCAGGACGATGCAATCGCATCATGCTCCAATCAAACAATTGCTTGTCAGGATAGGCACAATGCATGCGAAGCCAGTACTCTGAACTCACATCAGACCGAACCTTGCTCTGTAACTCTGCAAGCTAACAGGACAAAGCGAAAACATTAATAAGTAAACAGCGTCATCCCCTGGTAACATAATCTATGAAAGATACAAAAGCATAGGTGCATGCTTGCATTCATGCACACAAGATACACATGGTATTAGAATTTCAATTTAACTATATGAAAGGGAAATGCTATCATTATAACACTTAGAAAATATGAGGAAGAAGAACTCCGAAAATATGAGGAAGAAGCCACTATCATATTATATACATTAACACAAATTTCCAGCACCATCATTACAATTACTTCAACTGAATATAAAAATCTAAGAAGCATAGGCATAGACACAGACATCAGTAGACACAGGGCACAATGATTTTAAAAAAATTAGGATACGGACACAACGGGAATATGGCAAACCATGTATCTTTTTACAAATTTTTACTTGTTATGTATATGAATATAAATTTTGGCCACAAAGATATAAAAGACATCCATGTTTACGAGCATATTGTTATTTTTTTCCACTTTCCCCATTCTTTGTTTCCAAACATGACCCCAAATTAGCTTTTCTCAAAATAAATAAACCCACAATGGTTTCCTGAGGTGTATCCATGAAGTGCCTCCAGATTGTCCTGCAAAAAAATAAACACACCACTTGTAGTGTCTAGACATGTGGACACACGTCCCTGTCGGACAGGGATATGACACCCATTTTGAAGTGTCATGCTTCCTAGATGAAAACTCATTATTTAGGATACATTTTTCTTTCACATGCATATTTTTAAATATTCTTGATGAAGTAATTTTTAAAATGAAAAGGCCAGATCCTTGTCATCAGTTACAAAAGGGAAAGCAAACAGGTTCTGTCTGTGAACATTGATTATCACTAATGCAGCAAAACATGATTTGTGGCAATAATCCTTTTAACAAAATGCAACCAAATTATATCTTCCATTAGTTCAAATAATCACTGTCAAACTGTGTCTGATCAATATAAGCTCCACATGCAAGGAAGCAATAGAATCAAAATACCTCCAGTCCGTAGAGTTCAAGCAAGCACTTTGACTGCAGGTCCTCTCCTCTGCTTGATGGCAATTCTGGTTCAAATTAATCATAAGCAATGTCTCAAAAAATAAATAAATAAATAAACAAACAAAAAAACTGAACTACTGTAGAGACCATATGCAAATATTACTAATTGATTGATTATTCTGACAAGTAAATTACAGATAGAGCTAGTCAAACGGTGTTGAAGGTTAAAAAGACAAGAAAATAAGCAAGAAGTAGGGCCAGTATTCAAAACCAACACCTGCCAAATTAACCCCCTAGTCATATTGTATAGAAGCAGACCTCACGTAGATCTCCATAACACGGTGCCTTTGTTGGACCAAGGAAGAAAAAGAACCATAAATGTAAATCTACATATTAGCTAACCAATCTTTGTTTTTACTTTAACTAGAAACCTTATAGAGCATTTTTGTCCATCCAAAATCAGATCAATATCTACACACATTCAAGTTACTTAAATAGGTAGTTTCAGAGTAGACACAAGTAATGACAGTAAATTACAGATACAGGTAGACAAATGGTGTTAAAGATGAAAACGACAAGAAGAATAAGGCAAGCAGCAGAGGCCAGTATTCGAAAGCAACACCTGCCAAATCAATCCCCTAGACACATTTTATAAAAGCAGAACTCGAGTAGATCTTTACAACATGGTACCTTTGTCGGACCAAAGAAGGAAATGAACCATAAACGTTAATCTATAGCTTAGCTAACCAATCTTTTTTTCCTTTAGCTAGAACAAAGCATGTAATCAGCCGCTAATGAATTTTCTAAGGGAATGCCCATACAGTTGCAGAACAATATTTAGTACAAAAAAATGTTCTTTGCAGAAAATAGAAACCTTTAAGTTCAGTCAAACGATGCTGAATGTGGCTCTGCAAACGAACATCCCTTGATTTTGTCAATCCAGAACCTGACATGCAATTTGGTCGTTGTTTCACTAGAGCATCCTCAAGGTCCATCATCAAAGCTCCTCCTTTAGAAATGTCAACGCCATCCTGCATCACAAACATCAAACCAAAATTCCAAAAGCTGAATCAGAGATGAGAACAACATATTTAATGCATAACTAACTCAGCATGCCAAGTATTTCATGAACTAACTCAGCATGCCAAGTATTTCATGAACCATATCCACATGCAAGAGTAAGAATTATAGAATTTATCCTGCTCTACTTCTTTCATTCTCTCCCATCTTCTTATCTCGAGTTAATTGGTGTGGCTTGCAAGATAAGGGAATATTGCAGTGTTTGCTATCTGGAATAGGATGAAATTACAAAAACACAATCCTAGCACGAAAATAAACATTGTCACAAAGTCTTAGAAGATGGATCAATTGTCAGATTGAGTCACATTATCCAAACATAGAGAGAGTTTTCATCCTAGCCTTCAGAAAATTAACACGTGACTCATTTTTTTCTCTTGCATATTCTCTGTTAGAATTTACCATCACCTACCACCACTACCACCTCACCTACTCCACTAAACCTAACCCACTACACCACTACCACCTCACCTACTCCACTAAACCTAACCCACTACACCACTATCACCATCCACTACACACCATCCACTACACCTACATCTATATAAGGAACCATTTGTAATAGACAGGATATGTATCAATAGATCAATCTATAACAATCAATAATACAATCATTTCTCTTTATACATTAAATTTCTACATGGTATCAGAGCGGGTTTAGAATCTAGTATTTTCACTTCCCCGGCGGGCGGCAACCTCACCTTAGCCGCCCGCCGGGCCTCAACCTATTCCGCTTATTTTCTACACAACACATACCTTCACTTTGAAACCAGAATCAGGATCTTGCTATCTTCCACATCCTGATAAAGAAAAAACAGGTGGAGAGGACGCTCACTTCATTTGTGAAGATGAGCAAGCAATTGGCATAGCAGATGGTGTTGGTGGCTGGGCAGATGTTGGTATTAATGCAGGGCATTTTGCCCGTGAACTCATGTCTAATTCACTAGCTGCAATTCAAGATGAACCGAAGGGTTCCATTGACCCAGCTGGGGTGTTGGAGAAAGCTCACTCAATCACAAAAGCCGAGGGTTCCTCAACAGCTTGCATCATAGCCCTTACAAATCAGCGGAGTTTGCAAGCCATTAATCTTGGGGATAGTGGATTTATCGTAGTCAGAGAAGGATGCACCATCTTCCAATCTCCTGTGCAGCAGCATGGTTTCAATTTTACATATCAGTTGGAAAGTGGCCATGAAGGTGATCTGCCAGAGCTACAACACCCATCTCTTCTTTCTTTCAGATTCCTTTTCTCTCACAAGCATATGTCTCACAGACCCATCGTTCCTCACTCTTCTTCAATACCCTTCACTCTCCACACTCACTCCTCCATCACCATCATCAAAACCATCATTCACAATGGACAACTTTCTGAATATAATATAACCCACTATGTTTGTCCTCCACAATGGACAACCACCCACATGCCTTCTCTCTCTCATCTTTTCACTTTCCAACCCACTTTGCATCCACCGCCACTTTCCCCACTTTCTTTATTTTATATATATATATATATATATATCTTTTTTATTATATATATATATAAAAAAAAAAAAAAAAATCTCTCAAAAAAAAAAAAAATAAAAAAACTAGGTTTTTCTCCTCATTTTGCAAGAAATTAATTCAAGACAACACTTCTCTACAACAATATAACTCAGAATCTCAAGGATATTAAGAAAAACATTTTGGAAACCCACTTTGAAAATGATTCATAACTTAAGAGTCAAAACCAAGTTCAACCCAACAGGGAGGAGTCTCAACAACAACATAACTTGCAAAAATGTATATATGACTCAAAGAAAATCCCTACCTCAAATTTGGAGAAGAAAATATGAGAAACCCCCAAATTTGATGGTGTTGAAACCCGATCTCCACCATACACAATGAAGCCCTCGCTTATATCTCCAAAATTAGTGAAGGATGTTGGGTCAAAACTCCAATGGATTGGAAGAAATCAAGAGTTTATGGTGTTTGGTGGAGGTTTTTAGAGAGAAAG